CTAGAGACAACGTATTGATTTCCTCCATGATGCACCGCATGAAACATTTGTTTATGTTTTTCCCTCGCTTCAGAGATCTTTGAAATCTTCGGAGTAAATCATAGATTTTTTCATTGCCAATCAAAAACAGGACGTGCGTCGTGACTCGAACGAATCAACGAGTTTATTGTACGACATCATGATAATAGCACTCACCGGTAGCATTCGACAACCTTTTAGCATATCGTTGAAGCTCTCTGAACTATTCGTGGTAAGTATCCCACATCGACTACCACCTTTGAATGCTAGTGTCCATAACTACTGCGGAATCTTAGCAAGATATTGATATGTTGGTTCACTTTGATCCCGAATTTCCTGCATATTTTTGTGGAACTCCTGGACACTCAGAGTTCACCTGCATAAAAAAACGACAATGAATTAATGATTATTTTCATATAGAATTATATATTTAAATTAATACTATATATAAGGGTATTAAATAAAAATATACCCTCCCCAAAAAAAAAAATATACCTTTTGGTTTTAAAAATGAAACACAAAAAGAGGAAAAGAGGTGGAGAGGATAAGGAGTCTTGTTCTTTGAACTCACTCTTTATATTTGAAATTTTAGTTAAACCTTGTTCGGCAAACATAGGCACAAAAAGAGGAAAAGAGGTGGAGAGGATAAGGAGTCTTGTTCTTTGAACTCACTCTTTATATTTGAAATTTTAGTTAAACCTTGTTCGGCAAACATAGGTTTGACTTTGGCATATTTAAATCCACACGCAAAGGCCAAGACTGAGACAGCAGCAACAACTTTTCCTTTTGGCAGCGAGTTGCAGACACATCTTGTTCATCAAACACACACTTTTATTTAATGTTCAAAATATGTGTTCAGCAAACCCACTTTACATCAACCAGCAATAGTTTGGAAAAATAGGAATTGACAACCTACTTTATTCACTGAACGGGAAAGCACTCGTGGATATGTGTATTACAGAGTAACTTTTAGCCTCATATCATTCATGTCAGACCCGCCCACGCATATAAATGATCAATTATTATTTTTTCTGCACAAGTCTATTTGAAGATGCGTACATGGTCCCAAGGGCTACATTTTAAAATGTGGGCCTTCTCACATTTTTATAGGCTTTCATGTAGATATTTTATAGTTTGAAAAACATACAATTCTTTTAGGCTACAAATATACTAAGATTCATAAAATGAGCATGAACCTGAAGTCCACGGAAAAATTTTCCCTATTTACTTGAAAGGAAAAAATAACTTTCTCTTAAACATAATTCACCAAAATGGAATAAATTCTACTTATCCTCTTTTTGATGCATTTTGACTTCTTATTTTCTATTTATTCCACTCTTCTTCTCATTTCCTCTTAACTTCGTCGGAAACAAAATAGGAACCAAGTACTTCCTCCTTTCTAGAGAAGCGCAAAAGGATTGGGATCACAAAGATCGACCAGGATCAACTACGATTGAAACATGAAGATTGGGACCGAACCAGTCCTTAAGACTAGTTTGGTTCAAGAATAGTAGTCTCAAATATTCCTAGGTTTGTAAGGATGTCTGTGTCTAGTCCGAGACCATTGAAGAACCTGTAGAAGACTTAGACCGATCCTGGATTGGTAGAAGATCGGTCCAAAGAGTAGGACCAGCATATAAGATTGATCATCCAAAGTATTTATTACTCCACCGTCCCAATTTATATCGCATGTTTCGGTTTACGATGTTTGACGAAATTATTTTCAAATATGATTAAAAAATAGAAATTAGATCAAAAGATCTACAAAAGTAGCTAGAGGGGACATAACTAAAATACACAATCCATCAGCCACTTCAGCATCCATTGTCGTGCATTAAGGTCACCATTACTGGATGAAACTGAATGTCCCATACCTCCACACTCCCCAACTTGCGGATCATCTGCATACAATTTTCCATCTTCAGTCCGAAGCTACTATGAGGCTGCACTTAAAGAAGTCTTGAATTCTGCCTTTAGCCACGGTCCAAACATAAATTTCCCCTTCATGATCTCTATCAAGCTAAAGGCTTTTCGACAAAACTTATTAGTATGTCCAATGATCTCTGAAAAGTAGAAAAGGGTTCCAAGTCTCTCATACTTGAAGGTGATTGCCACTCCTCTCCTCTTGGCAGTTTGATCTTCATTAACCTCTTAAGAAGTCGTCGAACATCCATCTGAATCCGTATTCGCATGTAGTCCCTCCACGCGTTAGTGAAATTATTTGCATCTGTTCGCACATAATCCCCTAGAGTATTTCCAAGAGCACCCGTTCAGATCGAAGGCCTGCCACCCATCTCCTTGAAAATCCCCCCATTCATGGGTTTGTCCATGAGCAGTCTTCCAAGCATCACGAATTGTTCTTCCCCTTCCCCATTAATAAAATACTCTTCCGCATCCTTGCAGATCTCTAGTTGAATTTCGAAATCCTCCATCATCATCTAGAGCAGATCATTAGAAACTCTATTCACCTTGTCATTAGTGTTGCACATTGAAAATTGCAACTCTCACAACTGGGAGAGAGAAAACCTAGGATCGCCTTAGGAGAATTTTTTGACAAAGGCGCTCACCTAGACTTACAATAAATTAAAATTCAAAATTGTACCAAATTATTGGTATAAAAAATATCTTAAATATATTATTGGTACCAAATTACTCCCTCTGTTCTAAAACCATCCTCTCGGTTTGACTAAAACCCATTTTCAAGAGATGACTAAATTGGCTTTGACTTGACAAAAATACCCTTTTTCTAAACTTGGAAAAAGGGATCAGAAGTCTGCAAACAATTTGGAGCAATCCCACCCCACTTCGGAGCAACCCCTATAGCAACAATAGCTGGCCTGAAACCATTTTGCAGCGAGCCAAAAATTGGGCAAATGTCACCGAAGTAAAAGCCACTAACGTATTTGGGCAAATCTCACAGGAGTCAGTCATGTAGCAGCCAATAATTAACATTGCGATCTGAAAGAGATCTCTCTCACGACCTAGTCAACGACGGGGCGGTCTGCTCGGCAATGGTGGAGGCAAAGATTAGATCTATTTTTTGACGGAGAGAAGATTATATCTAAATCTTGAAGGAAAGAGAAGGTAAGATCTAGATTTTGAGGGAGAGAGAAGAAAGATGGAGATGATTATGTCTAGATTTTGAGAGAGATGGAGGAAAGATGGGGATAAGAAATTGTTGTGAATGAGAGAGAAGAGAGAATAAGAGAACGTAGATGGGGACGAGTGAGAGGGAAACCCAATGGAGAGAACCGATAGAGAGAAGCCAGCAAATTGAGAGAGGGGGTAACAAAGTCTATTCACACCCTTTTTTAAGAAGTGAGAAGGTAGTTTTAAGACGGAGAAAAAAGAGAAGTGGGAAGATAGTTTTAGGACGTAGGGAGTAATATTTTTTTATTAATATATTTTAATAAAAAAGAGGCTCGCTTAGACTTACAATGAATTAAAGTACTCCATAAAAAACTGTACCAAATTATTGGTATCAAAAAATATTTTAAATATTTTATTTATAATATTTTTTTATTGATATTTTCTCCGTGTCTAAATATTTGCGACATTTGCTTTTTCAATAGTCATGAGAACTTTTGTTTATTTATATATTTTTATTTATTATTTAATAAAATAAAATATTTTTAGACACCTCTTATTTCAAAAATTTTCATGTATTTTTAAAATTTATAAATTTTATTTTTTTATTTCTATACCAATGTTTAAATAAAAGGAATAGAAAAAACTTGACATTGTTTTTTAAAATGTGGCAAACAAGGGGTACAGTGAGTCCGAGTGAAGCAATTTGAGTAGACGTGGAAAAAAATGACCCGACCTGTTTTTGACCCAAGATCCGACCCGAAAATATTGGGTTTTGAACAAAGATTTTGCTGACTGAACCCGAAATTACCCGTTAAAAATATGTCAAACCCGACCGAACCCGAACCTGACCGACCCGCTAATGTGAGAATTTTTCAAAATCATATGCTTTAATATGTAATTTAATGTTATAAAAATAAGATTTTAATTTTATTTCTTTGCTTTCTACTCATTTTTAATGTTTAAATTTATATTTTCATACAAAATTTTAATGATATCGCATAGTTATCTATCTTTTTTCAAAATTTTCTGCATATTTAGCTTTTTTATTCGTAAAATTGATAGTCGGTCATAAAAATTACTTACAATTTTAAAAAATAAATGAAAGTAATAACCCGTTGGGTCGACCCGAACTTGATGACATTGGGTCATGAATAGGGGTGTAAACGGATATTAATCGGATTGGATGTATCATTACCAAATCCGTATTCGTTTATTTTTGTCGGATATCGAATTCGGATACGGATCTTGACAGATACTGAAAATCAAAACCGTATCTGCATCCGTCGGATATCGGTCGGATATCGGATATATCCGTATCCGTTTCCAATTTTTAAAATCAAATTAAACAATACTTTAATTTTAAATTAGATTAAAGTCAAACTATTATTAAATCAACAATAATTTGGTATGTGATAATTAATTTCTTTGTTTTCATAATTTATGATATTCTACGATAACTTCATATAATAAAATGATATACACAGCACACATATACACATATTTTTATGTGTCTACACATTTATTTTGTATATAAAAATGTCTTATATTTTGAAATATCAATAGAGAAACAAATTATAAACATAAAAAATTAGGAAAAACTATATATAACGGATCAGATATTCGGATAAACGGTTATTTAAACGGATGCATATTCGGATCGGATTTTAAACGGATCGGATATACAATTACCAAATCCGTATCCGTTTAGTAATCGAATATCCTTAATCGGATACGGATAATATCCATTTAAAACGGATGCAGATATTTCCTTTTTAAACGGATACGGATTTGGACGGTAATCGGATTTTCGGCTATAGCCCTAGTCATGAACACTTAGCTTTCAACTATAACCGGAAATTACCAGAACCGAAGTAACCTGAATCTAAGTTGATCTAAACCAAACCGGACCTGATCTACCTTTTTGGCAGCTCTAAATTTGAGCAAAATGACGGAGAAGACAGAGGCATAGGCTGCAGCGTCATCGGAATCAATCACGCTCTCGATCGTATCAAACGCGTAGCAGCAAAGCGGGGCTCACGATCCGGGGAGTCAACGGTAGCAGTGAGGCATGATCTCCCAGTTCTTCGTGCTTTCTCAGAGGGGAGACAGCATTGTCTTCCGCGACTGTGAGTTATCTTTCTATCCCTGCACACAAACATGTGATGTATCTATCTAAAGCCGCGATTGTTGTTTGTGCGTTGGATTTTATGGAATCCAGATCTTGTCAATCCAATCATGCTGAGAAATCTATTCTCAACAACTTTTGGTTTTGATGAGTTTGTGATTGTGAGCTGGAAGTAAAGTTACAGGATCTTCAATTGAGCTTCCTGACCTGAATTGCTGTATGCCACTAACATATGGGTTTGCTCGTTCTAATTCAAGTTCTCTTCAATTGTAGCATCTGAATTAAGTGGAGCAGTTATTTAAAAACCTATTATGAATTACACAATATTCAATTCTAAAAGGGCTTTAAATAATAAATTAGAATACCATTTTCTGCTTGCTTCCATGATTTAAGTTCAGCGGCATATATTGCTGGATTTGCTGCAATTAAGTGTTTGCTAACCGATGCCCTTAAGACACGGATCTAGAGGTGCGAGCTGAGATTAGTTTGTACTTTGTCACCCCTAATTAGATAAGTGCCAAAATTGGTGTCCCTAACTTTTTAGTCTTTTTTTCCATTAAAATTGCTGCCTGCCGTTAGAACATAATGGCATGATGGAAATTAAGGATTGGATTTGAATGCACTAAAAATAATGAATTGGATTTGGCTATATTTTCTTAGCACTTTCAAGCGCAGTTGATAGTGGTGTAACCTTACAATTCCCCTTACTAAATATTCTCCAACTTTTGTCATTCCTATTATTTTTTACATATTTATCTTGCTAATATCTGGAACTCTTCCCTCCAATCTATGGGTTTTCTTTTGTGTTTGTTAAAATGACAACTTTGCTATCGATTACAATTTACATATTCCATTAAATTACACAAAATGAAAAAAACAATTGCTAAACTTGTCTTTTTTACGAATTGCGACCAGTACTTATCTTCATGGTTGGAGATGTTTTTAGGCAAATTCTATCTACGGTGGAACTTCATATCGACAAAATAAGTAACTACTTACTATTGAGATGGACATTTACTTTTTTTAAAATGTCAGAAGCTTAACTTTTTTTTTTGAATCTTAAGTTCATAATAAAAGCACCCTTTCTATTAAGTTCATCGTCTCATTTTGGTTTGTTTGTCAAAGTAATGCCCTTTTTGGAAGTTGGCTGTTAGCTCTTGGCTAGCTATTCGAAATGGCTGATGAGTTTGGTTGGTTTGATCGGCTGGATGTGTTGGATGATTGTTAAAAGAATGTTTGGTAAACTTAGTTCTTTGCAAATAGTTGTTTCTAGATTTTAAAAAAATAAAAATTTTTTTTATACATATATATATATATGTATGTATGTATGTATATAAATATTTAGTTCCAACAAAATATAAATGCTATACTTGTATTTTCCTTTTGTTGATGTAAAAATTAAAGGGAGACGGATTGCAATAGGAGTAAAACATAAGACAAAACCAAAGTTAATCTTTAATATATTAAAATATGCTTTCATATAACTCATAGCAATTTATAATGTAGAAATTTTTAATCAGATGCAATAAGATGGTTAAATGAGAGCGCATATACATTGTAATTTTTTTTAATAAATAAGTCAATTTTTGTAAAACACAAGTATTTTTTATTTCTAATTTTTTTATATTTTATTTGTCTATTCTCTTTTCTAAATTTTGATCTTTTCTATTGAGGGATTTAATTTTGATCTTTTATTTTCTCATTTCATTTATTTTTTTAATATTATTTTGGGTATTTTTTATTTAATTTAAATTTTTTACATAAATTTATAAAGAAAAATAATTAAGAAATTAATTTTTTTCTAACAGCCAAGTCCAAAAGCTACTCCCCTTGGCTTTTTCAGATTTTGGTTTTTCGGATTGAGCAGCTGAGTGAAACAACCATTTGCCAAACACTGATTTTGGCTGTTTGATTGGTCAGAACAGCCAAAGTAAGTCCAAGAAGCCAACTTTAGGTGCTTAAATGCTCAGACGACACATGCAAGAAAGTATTGGATTTTGATTGGGTGGCTATTTTTGAAAGTATTGGTTTTTGCTAAATGCTCAGACGACACATGCAAGAAATTCACGGAGGGAGCAAAGTATAATCATTTAAGTTTTGGATTCATGTCAGCAGGACTCATGCAAGAATTACAAATCAGATTATTGACATGACTAAAATTTCAAACAAGATGATTTTCTCTTTACTCTACTGAGTTCACACACATCTGGCTTTAGTGATTCTATTAATCTTTACTACAATAACCCTGTAAATGCAGATAGAGGAGATGTACAAAAAGGAAGTGCAGAGATTTTCTTTCGCAAAGTTAAGTTTTGGAAAGAAGACGGGGAAGAAGAAGCACCCCCTGTATTTGTAGGTATCTTTTCCATTGTAGTGCTGTCGTTAGTGTCTATTTCTCAAGCAGTAAAGGTTTCTTTGAACTTTAAAGATTCATTTTTCGCCTTCTTTAAACCTTTGAAAATTTGAAATAGGTATATATTGGTTTATGTTGGTTGATAACTGCTCTTTATCCTTTTATTTTTTTCTTTAATCAAATCAAGTTTATTTGTCCCCACTTTTACCTATTTCTATTTTGTTTAATTGTCCAATTTCTTTTCCCTTCTTCATGCTCATGTCAATTTTTTTTCTCTCTACAATTTTGGTATAATACTTATATTAACTGCTATTCATGAATAACTGATAATGGTGTCATTCATTTTCCTCAATAGAATGTGGATGGTGTAAATTACTTCCATGTGAAGGTTGTTGGTCTGCTTTTTGCTGCAACTACGAGGACCAACGTCTCACCTTCTCTGGTGCTGGAGCTTCTACAGAGGATTGCACGTGTTACCAAAGATTACCTTGGCATTCTGAATGAAGATTCCTTGAGAAAGAATTTTGTACTTGTGTACGAGCTACTTGATGAAGTTATTGTAAGTAAAATAGTTGGAACAGGGTACAATGAATTTGTGATTCTAATTCTAAAGAATGATCTATCTGCAATTTAGCGCAGCAATGTTGTTGCGTATTGCTGATACTGCAGTTTTATTCTTTCATCAAGCATAGGTATGAGTTATCATATCTGTTAGGTCAATGAGTTTTAAAATTTAAATTCATATTAGGATTTATGTGGTTCCATTGGTTTTTCTTCATTGCACATGGTCTTTAGGTGTAATATTGCATGCATTGCATTTCAAATTATTCTTCAATCTTTTTTGTTTATTTTAAAGGAAAAACAACATTTTGGTCCTTCATTAAAAGTGGGTATTGTTGCCCCTAGTTGTTTAATATAACTACCTCTCATCTAATACTCAATTATTGTATGAAAGTTGCCAATAAGGTCTTCTAGCTTATACAATCTTCAGGTTTGTAACGATAGTGGAAGTTAATTATACCATTAGAAGTTAACTAATTTCATAACGTAGATGACCATATTGGCAAATTTGGATGATACTTGCTGACCAACCACTGTCAATTCAACCAATAAAGGACAACCATAACTATTTCAAATTTTCAATATAACTGCGGTACTATAATTAATGAGCTCACTCTGTTTTCGATTTGTGGCAGGATTTTGGTTATGTCCAAACAACATCTACTGAAGTATTGAAGTCCTACATATTTAATGAGCCAATTGTTGTTGATGCTGGTCGTTTGCCACCAGCTGGCCCTGCTGCTATGTTCATGGTATACTGTGTTGCATGCAGTATTAAAATTGAAGATTGTACAAAAATCAAGTTTACTTTTGACGACAGAAGCATATTCCATCATTAATGCCTTCCACTTTGACATGTGCAGCAAGGGACAAAAAGAATGCCAGGGACGGCTATTACCAAATCTGTCGTAGCAAATGAACCAGCCGGTAGAAAGAGGGAGGAAATTTTTGTGGATATAATTGAGAAAATAAGCATTACATTCAGCTCAAGTGTAAGTAATCTTGTTTCCTCTGGACTCAGTGACTCAGTGTATCTTGTGTTGTGCTAAAATCACAAGAGTGTAGGTCATGGAAAATTAAGAAAAAAGTAGATTGTTAAAGATTAAAGGGTTTAACTAAATACAATTTTAACTAAATCAACGAATTCTAAATACTAATATACAAATTATTAAATTTAATTTTAACGGAGTTCTGGCTGTTCTGTGAGTGTAGATTTTATCAACTACATTGTATTCAATATTTACTTAAATGAATTTGCCTCATTTTAACTCACCATATCACTAAAGTTATATGTTTTTCTCTTTGAGGTACAAAACATGTATTTATATTACGGAGAAAACAATATCGGCCTTCATTAGGATAACCCATTATAAAGATTTTTAAATGTCGAGCTCAGTTAGGTGGGAATGTGGGATCATACCATCACTAATGCATCTGATCCCATCCGAAATTAAGAACTCTGGAGTTAAGCATGCTTGGGCAAGAGTAGTACTACGATGGGTGACCCCCTAGGAAGTCCTCATGTTGCACCCCTTTGGAAAAACGATGTCCAGCTCATTCAAATTGTTTTCTGCATACTGAAAACATTAATTGGGCTGTTTTTCAAGCTGTGCCCTAGACGTATATTATTCATTTGTGGGCAGAAATTTCCACTGCCAAACTCAATTACTATAATTGTTCCTCAAGGACATGGATTAAATCAATTTTCATGTAACAATAGGGATATATATTGACTTCTGAAATTGATGGCACCATTCAAATGAAGAGTTATCTTACTGGTAATCCAGAAATCAGATTAGCTCTTAACGAGGATCTGAGCATAGGCAGCGGTGGGGGATCAATATATGGTACTCCTATATTCAACTGTCCGGTCACCAGTTTATTGTGTTATTTTCTGGATTTTCTGCTTGTAAGTAACACACATGCACACACACGCACGCACGTGCAAACACGTATGTACGTGTATGTATGTATGTATGTTTGTGTGTGTGTGTGTATATATATATATATAGTCAACAATTTGATTCTACGGAATATGTGAAGTTCTTTTTCATAATCTTCCCCTTGGAACAGATTATGGTGGCTCTTCTGGGTCAGGAGCAGTTATATTGGATGATTGCAATTTCCATGAATCTGTTCGTCTTGATAGTTTTGACATAGACAGAACCTTGACACTAGTGAGTGGAGTAGGATTGTAAAAAAGCTTATTCATTTTGTCTACTGCTGAAAACTGGGACATTGTTATACCAATTATCGAGGGCTTGATTTCATTGTCTAGGTCCCCCCTGATGGTGAATTCCCTGTCATGAATTACCGTATAACCCAGGAATTCAAGCCTCCTTTTCGAATCAATGCTTTGATTGAAGTAGCTGGATCACTCAAGGTAGACAATGCCTGCTTTTTTCTAGACTAGAATTCAATTTAGAAGAGCATTAGGTAGACCTGTATATTTATATTTTGAACTCATCTTCTGGGCTGGAAGGGGACTATTCCAATAAACAAATGAAACTATCTTTTGTCAAGAATTTTCATTATCAATGCACACTCATAACTACATTTTGGAGGGGGGGGGGGGTTGTAAATGTATTTAACTAAAGTAATTAAAGAGTAATTTATTAACTATTCCAAACAAAATTATGGAGTACAGAGTACAATTTATTGGCACAAAGTATTAAAATAGATTATCAAATTAGAAAATTCACCATTACTCATAGAATTGGAGAATTTTACATAAATATTTTCTGATTCATTAAATGACATTGTTGCTTCCAAAATATCTACTCTTTAGATGTTTGCATCCGTGCTCCCTAATTAGTATGTATATATCAGTGCTCACAGGTCGAACCAATGGTCCAATCAGCAAAGGAGCACCGTTGTAAACATATAAAACTTCCGGGAGCAGCGGAGTCATTTATTTACGATTCTATTTTTAGTATTTTATTATTTTTTGTCGCATCCTTGCCGAGCCCGCATCCTCTATTTTTAGAAATACCATTTTCCGTCCCCGGCCCCTCCTCCTATATGCACCCGCACCCGTCCCGGTGAAACTTAAGATTGTTGTGATCCAGTTTACCTTTTAGTGAAGATGCTATTAAAAGAATTTTGGTACATGACCTTAGAAGATTTTGTATCGATTCATGTAGCCGACCCTATTGATTTGGGATTTAGGCTTGATTGTTGTTGAAGAAGCTACTAAGTATGCCATATATTACTAGGCTGAAGTAATTTTGAAGATTCGAGCTGAGTTTCCATCAAACATAACTGCAAATACTGTGGCAGTGCAGATGCCTGTGCCAGCATATACATCCAGGTATTAATGTACTCTTTTTATAATTTCTTGAGATAGACAGAGTATAAACAAGTTCAATTAGCTTAATGATGCACATGCTGCTGCTGTTATTATAATTTTTGTTATTCTCTATTTTTTGCATATTGGAGTTTCATTTCTACATATGGCTATATATTTGTTTTGTGACCCAAGACAAATTTGCTTTAGCCTGTATTACCCTTGTTTCCCTCTCTATTTTTAACAATCCTGACATCCAATATTGTCCTATTAGGTTGATGTGGTGTAATCACAATATGTAGATACCAGTCATACCACACAACCTCAATTTATGAAGTATGAGATGAGATTATTTTCATTGAGCATGCCATTGTATGGGTCCTGCAGCCCTCTGTGTTGTAGAAAAAAATGCCTTGCAAGTTGCAATATTATCTTATAAGGCAGATGTGTTGTGAATATGTGAGTACTGAGTTCATGACCAAAAGATGATGTAACGTAGTTTATGTTTTTCCTATCTAGAAATCTCTGAACACCCAATAAAAGAAAGAAATTGCAAATGGTCCATGCTACTATTCCCTCCATAGCTAGGGCAGCGTCTTAGCTTGATCTTTGAATAATTCAGGGTTAGTTTTGAGATGGAACCTGGAGCAGTTGGACAAACAACTGATTTCAAAGAATCCAATAGGAGACTTGAGTGGAGTCTGAAAAAGGTAAAAAAACATTGAATAATTCATGATGTTATGTAATGCATTGTGCTTTAATTATTTTTATTTTATTTTATTTATATTTAAATTTCCTGATTTTCCCATTTATCACCTAGATTGCGGGTGGTTCCGAATGTACACTGCGTGCCAAGCTAACATTATCACAAGAATCACATGGTACAATGCAGTTTATGTCTGATCATATTTTTCATGCAAACTTCTATGCTTATTCCTTATAATTAATTTATCAATAATTCATCTACCACAGCAAATATCACAAAGGAAGCGGGACCTGTAAGCATGACCTTCACCATTCCCATGTACAATCCTTCAAGGCTTCAGGTAAAATCTATAATGTTCAATTTATTATTCTGGGAGTAAGATTTCAAACCACGATATTTAGCTTGAAGGTTCTTTTAGCAAATTTTACTATGTGACACCGTTGGATTATAAGAATAATCTGAAATAAAAAATTCTAGTGATGATAATCTTTGAGTACGATCCACTTGTGGCATTTCCCTGGGCAAGAGAACTCTACGTATCTACCTATGCACATACTCCGTAAGTTACAGTTAAACTGTGCTTATTTAGTTAAGAGTCGGGCTAATCCCATTAGGATTAGGGTTACTCATGATAAAGCTCCACACTTCCCTTTAAGATAGAGCATGCACGAGTAATTTCTATGTAACTAACTTGTTACAGATAAATCCAACTTTCAGTCCTTTAAGCAAACTCATTGATTTGATGAGCAGAATTAATGAATCTTGTAACATCGTGTCAATAAATGACGATTTTCTACTTAAGTGACAACCAACTTCTATATATCTGGTCCTTTCACCTTACACTGGATTTGGGGCAATATGCCTTGCATCTTTGTTATCACACAAAAGCTGCATTTTTGTCACATCATCGTATTGCGATTCCTCAAGTAAATGCTTCAACTGTATAATTCCCAGGCCTAGTGAGTAGTGCTGATTAATGATACTTAGCAGCATCACTAGACCTTGCAACCACCTGCTTATTTCTCAAGGTATTAGATTACATCCAATTAGGCAATTAGCAGCCTCAACAAGGACTATAATTGTAGCATCCAAGTTTTCCTAAGTTTTGTCACTTAGGCGGGTGCCTAATGGATTAGGCATTGTGGTCATGTGATGGCGAATTAGTTCTGCTTTCCAATGAGTCTCATATGTGTTTCTAACAGATAATTTCTCCCTCTCATTTGGTCCAAGCTTACCGCTAGGCTTAGCTGCAATTTGGAATGCCTGTTTCTTTGAGAACAACCGAATTATACTTTCTTTGAGAATTGACTAGAACCATTATGGTTGGGATAGAAGTTTGGCGTCAGGAACCGTATACTGAGGGGCAATCTCACATACCAGTTTCTTCAAGAATATTCGAAGCATACTTTGAGAAATGACTAACCATTATGTGTGTGGTAGAAGCTTGACGTTAGGAACCATCGGAGAGCTACAGAGCTGCGATCCAGCATGCCAGTTTCTTCAAGAACTCCATAGCATACTCTGGGAAATCACAAGACCATTATGGGTGTAGTTTTCAATAGACAGCAGGAGAAAAAAAGTACCCATCTAGAGGACTGAATATCGACCGCAGTCGTGGTCATTTTAGAGCTCATATACAAGGAAAGGTTCATACAAGAACTTTCGTAAGCACATTTAAGGGGGTTCAAGTCCATCAACACAAACCATTTCTGAAATGACTAAACCGTGTTCGATCATTAATCTTCAATCTAATCCTGTAATGGGTAATAACGGATTACTGAATGTTTTTGTCAACATCTTAGACTGAGCACTAGTTTTATACGGAGTAGTACATTGTCCATCTCATTGCTTGTCCAGTTCTCCCTAAAGGATAAGATGGGTTTTTGTTGCAGGTGAAGTATTTGCAGATTGCAAAGGCATCCAAATCTTACAACCCATATAGGTGGGTGCGGTATGTTACGCAGGCCAATTCTTATGTGGCTCGTATATGATTTATATATTGATGATGATAGAAGGTGGTTTGCGGGTGAATACACCTAGTCGTGTAGAGCTGCAACTAGTCCCCCCCACCCCCCTCCCCCTCCCTTTGTTTTCTCAATGGAGTGAGTTTTTAAGCCGTTTGTAGCTCTTGCTAAAGGGAAGAAGATCATTTTGTTATATATATGCTTTATCATCATTTGTCTTACTGAACTAGTTTTTGTATGTACTTTATTTTTTTCAACAATTTGTTGTAATTTTTATTGTTTGAACTCAGAGTATTTGAAATCAGTATAATGTTGATGAGATTTTAAATAATTAAATTTGTTCTGTTTTTACTGATTAATTGTTACAAAAAGGTCTTATTTCTCAATACATAATTAGCACGTCTCTTTTAAGATTCAGGATAGGGAGTATGTTTTAAATGTGCTTTGGAAGATGTAAATCATCTCAAATACTTATTTCAGTGTTGTGTAGTTATTTTTTTTCCGAGTTAAATTAGATAACTTTAATCACCAATTATTCTAATTTTGTACGGAGTACTCCGTATTGTATATTAAGACAATAAAATAAAATTTTGAAAAAAATATTTATATACATCTCATAAAATTATATTTAACTTAATACACATTGTCATTTTATTGAATTGAAATTTTAAGTTTATTTAGATTGACCGAAAAAATTCAAATAAAAGAAGTACAAGTTTAAACTAAAGGTAATATGAACACTTATATTGGGCGTAGTTTGATGTACCGTGCTTCTTGCTCGAAAAGTATACTACCCATTTCATTTTATTGGTTTCCTTTTTCCTTTTGAAAACTGAACTCCTCCGAGGGTCTTTTTCGTTTTAAAAGGTGGAATGCTACCTCGGGACTCTAATATGATAGAATTGTGAGTAGAGTAAATTATGATATACTTTCAATCTAGTCTTAGAGAGGTCACCCCGTGCCCAGTGTATTACAAATAATAACTTTCACACTTCCCATGTCTGGTGTGCTCAAGAAGTAATCAAAGTTCATTCTAAGATATAATTGGGTTTCTTTAAAAATATTTTTATTAATGGTTAACTAAAAAAGTTAAATTGTAAAAAAAATATTATGAGATGTGAAGTACTCCGTATGAGATAAAAATAATGGGATGAATTACTCCTCTATTAAAAAAAGGCTCCTAGTTACTATTTATAGATCAAGTTAACTTTATTTTCTTTATACATTTTTATCGATCATTAAATAACAATAAAATAACATTGTCGACACTTATTCTGTACAGTAAATTTTTTATGTAGTTTTAAATTATTTAATTTTTATTTTTTAATTATATACTACGGAGTAATTTTTATTTTTACTTATTTAAGAATAATTTTAGTCGAACATCGTAAAACGAACATGAACCTTCTTTTAGGAGGGAAACCATATGTGATAAATATAATGTAGCAAACAAAAGAAGAGTAAAATGAGCTTATTCATTATTTGAGCTATGGTACGTGTCAACGTCAGATGCATCACATTCCAAAAGGTGAAACCACTCATACCGAGTGTCCCTTACCTCATCCGGACGAAATTTTGAGAGGAGATAAATCATAGGACTCAACCAACAACAAAAAATGAGACCAATGTTCACTTTACACAAATAGCCCTCTCATTTGTTGAGAAGTTGCTCTTGTCAATCTTTTGTTCCAAATTCTACCAAGCATGCCCGGACGGTCGGGCAGATGTATAACATTCCAAATTTAGGAGTGCCGTGTTCTAAATGCCGATTAGAAACAGTTCGCACCTTTTTCGTTTCTTGCTAGCTAACTAATTACAGGTGAAATTCCAGTACTACTATTGTCTAGAGCGTGAGAAGAATGGGGATGGAGAGCAGCGAAGAAGACGACGACTTCCCATTAATAGAGAGCGTAACCCCTCAGTCGAAGATCGACACCATTTATCAATCCAACACTGAAAAGGTCTGCACCGATTTCTATATGTGTGTGTCTGGCTGGATGAGACGAGCGAATGAACTGTTAATTTAAAGCATACAAAAATTCACTTGCTTGTTCCCGGCATTTCATTTCACCTTTTTGCTCCAAAAGAATGCACATCTAGGGATTATTTGGCTCTTAATTGTGTTCAATATTTTGAAATTTTACTCTCTTACAAGCTCTTTGTTCTGAACTATAGCGTGATAGTTTTACCTTTTTTTTTTTAAATATCTACACTAGGAAAAAAAAGGAAATAGTAAATACACCTTTCATGCCATTGTATCTTTGAGTTTGAAGGTACCTATTTGGTCACAGGCTAACATATCAAGTATCCAATTTATACAGGGAATCAGAAAAATTTCTTTTGAGCTTTTAGAACTGAAAGATGCAGTAGAGAACATTAGTGGCAGTGCTCACACTAAGTGCTTGGCCTTCTTGAGGTATTCCCATATCAGGATTGCTGAGTTTGACTAAATGCCTATGGCAAAAATATACTACTTGACGGTAGTCAAATGTATGAACTTTTACTTCTTACTGCTTTTTACTAAATGTAACATTTTCCTCATTCTTCAAAGTTGAATTTGCCCAGCCAATAGTTCAACTGAAATGCATTCTTCTTGACCATATGTGATGACATGATAGGTATGTAAACTATGTATGTTTAGGAATCCTTAAGTAACACTTGGACTGAGTTTGATGAGACATTGATTTCACACGAACCATCTATTTGATGAAGAAATGTTTTCTCTCATACTTATGTGACCATGTTTACCCCATTCGAATGATATTGCGAACTAGGACAAAAGAGGGAGTTTGTGGTAGGCATGTGACACAAAATGGAAAACCTTGCCACATCTTAGGATTCAGTTCGAGGAAAACCATGCATGAAATCTAATTCCTTTGATGAAAGGTGAATATTTGACGACAAAAGAGGCGAGGGAGGGGAAGAATTGAGAGCAGTTCTATGGCTAGGACGACAAGAGAGGCGAGAGAGGATAAGTGAGAGAAGATATAGGGTTTGGGTGCTAGGTTTGAACGAAAGATGAATGGGGATAAGCTTGGAGCGAGGCAGATGAAATGAAGATGGGGAAAAGGTTGAAAGGGTATAAGTGGTGGGTAAAGGTTACAAGGGTAAAATTGCTATTTAATGTATTACTCTTTCCGTCCCATAAGAAACTTCTTTCTTTCCTTTTTCGTCCATCCTAAAAAAACTTCCTTTCCATTTAAAGTAAAGAATTTGTGGCTGAAAAAAAATTCTCTCTCCTCTTAACCAATTCCAACCACACCTTTTTCACTTTTTAACACTTTTCTTAAACTCCATGAAAGTGAAAGTGAGAAGGGAACAGAGGGAGTATTACTTTGGCAATTAAGATCAAGGTAACAAAATTTTAGAATGACTTAAAAAGGAAAGTGAAGAAAATTTCTGGACGGAGTGAGTAATTAGTGTATATAGGCTGATGAGCGTGGACCTTGCTCGTTAGACTTGTAAAGCTTTTTATTTGAGAGGAAGCAAACTAGTCTTTTCCTTCCTACTCCTGCAATACGCCTTATTGTGTCTTGAATTTCTAGCTCAATTTATGTGTGCAATTGCCTTTTTTATTTATTAATAGGGGCATCTTGTAATATTTGAACCATCATTCATGATTCATCTGTATAATCTTATTATCACACTATCCAATGAAAGAAATATATGAGTTTTTTTAATTCTCCTTACCTTCCAAAGTAGTTCCCTCCTTTGAAGTTGCGCACTATGGTACCTACCAACCTTTTCTTGTTACAGTCAATCTTAGGAACATTGAGTTCCATTCTCTTCAGTGTCTAGGTTGAATTTTAATTACCTTCCATGCTCTGCATATTTTTTGCTGAACTATGAAATTCTTTTTGAAACATCCCCATTAATGTTTCATCTATTTATCTGCTTTGTTACTTAGAGAAGTAATCATGCTGTGATGAATGTTTTGTTCTTCTTATCAGTTTTTGTTATTGTACTTCTTGTATTGTTATGCATTGAATTTTTTTAACGTATAAGTTACATCAACTTTTACATATTAAAAAGGGGAACATATTAATGCCATTTTGTAATGGATTATAGGTTATCAGAAGAAATTGTGGAGACAAATCGCGAACTGAATGAGCTAAGAAAGCATATCTCCTCTAAGGAGATTCTTGTCCAAGATTTAATAAATGGAGCATGCCAAGAATTAGATTTATGGTGCCATGCTGTTTCTGATGTTAATGAAACTCAAGAAAGCTCTCAATATTGTGAATTAACAGATGGTTACTTCATAAACACACCAGAAGCTGTCCATTTATCATTTTTGGAGAGCATTGATGTTCTTCTAGCTGAGCACAAAATTGAGGAAGCAATAGAGGCAATAGATGCTGAAGAGAAAAGTCACCCTGAAACAAGAAGTGTAGGAGAGATGTCAATCATGTCATCTACAGAAACATCCCCCTATAGATCTGCATTGTCAAAAAGAAAAGCTATGCTTGAGAAGCAGCTTGTCGAGATTGCAGAGAGACCTTCTACTGCTGTTGTCGAGCTCAAAAGGGCTTTATCTGGTTTGTTGAAGTTGGGGAAAGGTCCCTTGGCACACCAGCTTCTTGTCAAGTCACTTAAGTTTCGCCTTCAGAAAAGCATTGAAGCATTCCTTCCGCTGTGCTCTTGTTATCTCGAGACATACTCAGCCACTTTGTCTAACCTTGTATTCTCTACTATTTTATTAGCTGCTAAGGAATCCATTTCGATGTTTGGTGACAATCCTCTTTACAGCAATAAAATTATTCAATGGGCGGAAAGGGAAATTGAATCTTTTGTGAGGTTGGTTAAAGAGCATGCACCGGTTTCTGAGACTGCTACTGCTTTACGTGCTGCGAGTTTTTGTGCTCAGACTAGTCTTAACCACTGCTATGCCTTGGAAACGCATGGCCTTAAGCTCTCCAAAGTGCTCTTGGTTCTTTTGCAGCCATACATTGAGGAAGTGCTCGAGCTGAATTTCATACGAGCTAGAAGAACAACTCTTCATTTTGGTACAAGTGATGAGGAAATACTGCTTTCACCACGTTTTGCGTCCCCATTATCTACATTTGCCACACCATCTGGCACGATGCTAGTTGAGAGTGGCATGAGATTCATTTATGTTGTCAAAGTAAGTGAGATTTGTTAACTTGATTACATTGTTTATTGTCTTATACGTAGTAGTATAAATGGTTCAATATTAACAAGCATCTATTTGGTAAATATTTACCTAAAGCATATTACTTCATTTTGTGGCATCAAGGAGATATAAACAGATTATTATTTGGTGACAGTTCATGGGACATGGGTGTTGAGTTTGCTCTTATTAGCACACCCCAGGTGCTCAACAGTTTTGGGAGCCCTATGGTTCCACGTTGGGCCTTATGGTGCTCAACAGTTATGGGGAGGGGGCAAGAGGTGAGTTGACCAAAGGGTGTGAGGTGAGGCTGAGAGGTGGCACTGTTCGTTGATGGTGAACAGTGGCAGGTGAGGGGGACAACGCCAAACATGGGGGGTTGGGGTAGGCATGGGGTTAGGCCGTTAGGGGAGGGGTTGGGGGTATAGCATGTTTTTGGGCCGAACAGAATAATGTAGGGCCCCAAAAGTGTTGAGTGTGCTTTATTAGCACACTCAACACCACTTTGCCATGAAATACACCCTTATTGTTGTTGTTGTTGTTCTGGTTGTTTTTATTATTAGTAACTAGCATAGTTTTGAAAGGCGAAAGGCTAGAGGCAGGCAAGAGGGCCCTTTTTAAGTCGACAGGCGAGGTGAGAGGCGGGCAGCCAAAAGGCGAACTTGGGGCATACACACACATACATAAAATATATAGTACAGTGCAATTAATAATGTCAATCCTGAGCAAGTCATACATGTTAAACAAAACAATTAGAGTAGTTACTACATATGTTTCTCAAAAAACGAGTATTTAATATATAGAAATGCATTTAAAAAATGCCAACTCCTTTTTTAAAAGGCCCATAGTCAGGCGAGAAAGGCTAGAAAAGCAAGCGACTCAGGCGAGAAAGGCAGACAGCGCCTCACCTGAACATCTACAGGCGGTATAAGGTCGCCCGGATGCCTGAGGCGCCTTAGGCGAGGGAAGCGCTCGCCTTTCAAAACTATGGTAACCAGTCATAGTTTCCTACACTTAGGGTTCTTGCCACCCATTCTCACTGTCATAATATAATATCGGGGTCCTACGATATTTCATTGGGCCTGGAACTTGGTCCTACTTTCCTAATGCACCCCACATACCCAATACCTAGCTCCCCTTTCACTTCATCAAAATGCTACAGTAGGGCTGGGAGCATTTCAGCGAAATGCAATGGCAGTGGTTCGTACATAACTGCATCTTATTTTTTTTTGTTAGTAGAGAAAGGGGTATGAGGTGGCGTCCGGGTTGTGGTGGGGTGTGTTATTTAGTTGCTTTGAATTGATTGGTTGGGAATTGCTAGAAACAGGTTTCTGATGCTTCTCCACTATTCATCGAATCAGTAAAGTGCTTTTCGTGTTAATAATTGCAGGAAATAGTAGAACGACTCAGCCAGTTAGTTATTCTGCACTTCGGAGGCAATATTTTGGCCAGGATTTCACAGCTTTTTGACAAGTATGTGGATGCATTGATCAAATCCTTACCGGGCCTATCTGAAGATGACAACCTCACGGAGCTGAAAGAGTCTGTGCATTTTAGAGTTGAGACAGATTCAGAGCAGCTAGCATTGTTGGGGACTGCTTTTACCATTTCGGAGGAATTATTGCCAATGGTTGTCTCCAGAATATGGAATACACTCACTGAAAGCAAAGAAGCAAATACTGTGATTTCAGATGCCATAACGCCTCCCTCCAATACCGTGGTGGATGTTAAGGAGTGGAGGCGCAATCTTCAGCGCTCGCTTGACAAACTCAGGGACAGCTTCTGTCGACAATATATTGTGAACTTCATCTACTCAAGGGATGGCGATGCACGACTAGATGCACAAATATATTTAAGCGGGATGAGTGAAGATCTGATGTCGGAGTCTGAACCTCTTCCTTCTTTGCCATTTCAGGTATACCCTCATTAAACTTTATGCAAAACTTCTAAACTTTGTTCACGTCAAACAGAGTTGTAGTAGTTTTATTCGTGTGAGGATTTGATAAGATCAGTTTTGCCTGGATGAGAATGATTGGAATAATTTGAGTACCAGTTTCTCCTCTGTTAGGTGTTTTGTAGTCACTTAGAAGTAACGTTTGTGTGGTACTATAGGCTCTATTTGGGAAGCTTCAGCAGTTAGCAACCGTGGCTGGTGACGTTCTACTTGGGAGGCAGAAAATACAAAAGGTTTTGCTTGCGAGGCTTACTGAGACTGTGGTCATGTGGTTGTATGATGAGCATGAATTTTGGAGTGTTCTGGAGGATGATTCTGCTCCTCTTACACAGCATGGGTTGCAGCAGGTATTTGCAATAATAATTAAAGTGGCCTTATTTTTTTGGTTAACATATTCATTGGAACCAAATTATTAATCATATGGATAATTGGAAGCAATGCTGTATTAGTAAAGGTGGTTATCGATGCAGTTATGGTTTTCCAAATTCTCCATGGTTAACCTGGATTTTGGCTAACCAAAATCCGTACACAAGATTATTTTTTTTTTTGGAAAACTGTAGAGTGTTAGTTTATTTGCATAGTTGGTACTATACACATAAAGAAGTTATTTTACTTTGCATATTAGGTTTGGCTCTCCTGCACATACGCCAATTAGCTCCTCTTTATCTTATAAAGCTATTTCTGTTTTAATTTTTTGGTTAATGGATTAGCCGTACCAAGGTTTATTAATCGAAATCCATGTTAACCACGACCATCAAAAACTCAGAGAAGAGGATTAAAGACTAGTAGTATGAGACCAGATACGTGAAGCCTTTGAATCTGCACTAACATTACGCCATCACTTTTGTCCTGTACCAACTACCCAAAACTGGCTCATATAATTAGCTACTCAACGTGTTTCCCAGTTAATGCTGGACATGCACTTCACTGTGGAGATAGCACGGTTTGCGGGGTACCCATCCAGGATTGTGCATCAAATAGCATCCGATATAATGTCTCGTGCAATCAGGACATTTTCAGTTAGAGGCGTCGTACAAAGGTAGGTAGGTTTTGTATTGTATGGTATTGTGTACCAACTCCATCATCTTTTCGGCACGCCTCTCCATATACATCTGAAAGGTTTTGATATTTGATTTGTTTGGCAGTGTCCTACCGGAGGACGAATGGTTTGTAGAGACTGCAAAAGGAGCAATAAACAAGCTTCTTTTGGGTGGGTCCGGATCAGACACGTCCGAGATTTATGATGATGATGAAGAACATAATCATAGTACAATGCATGACGAGTTTATGCTGGACGACGACGAAGACGAAGACTCTGGCTCACCTTCCTCCTTGTCATCGCTAGACAGCTACGAGTCTTTTGCCTCGGCACATTCCGGTGATTTTGGTAGCCCCAGTTTGTCTGATCCTGAGAACTGAACGTGACCCTTTGCTTCTGTCTGGCCTTCCAATGAGAAACAAGGTTTACTAATTTTTTTTTGCTGGTGAGGCAGAGAGATCGTTGTGTAATATCTGCAGCTATTTATGCCTGGGAATTGAGATATATGCTGTAAGAACCGGGTGAATATAATGACAAGTCCCGGTGTGTTTGTCGAATTTGACTTTTTAGAGTAAAACTTGACGAACTTTGATTATCAATTAAAAAATTTGCATTACATTTTACTACAAATATTTTATTAATGTACAATGTGATATTTATTTATTAAATTGACAACCAAAGAATGCCCAGTTTCACTGCAAAAAAGTTACATTGGACAAACATACTAGGACGGATAATTTTTTCTTACATTGAATTGGTGCAAACTTAACATCCTAGTCTTTAGCCTTAGTTTTCTAGCCATGATGTTAAAGTAGTTTGTGATCCCAAATGTTACTCTCTCCGTCCCATTTTAAATGCATGTTTTGACTTTTCGGCATATTTAAGGAAAATAAAAAATAGAGTTGATTTTCTGAAATTGCCATTACTTTTTAGGAGGGGTGACGATGAATGAGAAGAGAACTAAAGACTTGTTTTAGAGGTGATTTAGGTATTTTACTCATAAAAGTTTACGATAACAAGTAACATGCAACTTATTTTGGGACGGAGAAAAAAGGCAAATAAGCAATTTAAAATGGGACAGAGGGAGTAGTAGCATAGGGCAAGTTTGATCTGTCCTGTAAATTGGGTTTCAGATCTTAGGTTGAGGTCATGCAGAATGATGGAATCTTTGTTAGCCAAAATAAAATAATACTTCGTATTGCTTCTTGTTAGTATGAAATTAATCTTATTTTTCATTCATTCTCATGAAATGATTTGCATCGAATATGTTGAATCCCAAATTTTATTGATGATTGAATAGCATTAGATCCCCTAAATAGATTGCAAAACAAGGAGTCCTTCAAAAAAGAATTTTGAACAAAAAGAATTTGAAATGTGCTTAGGCCATCTCAACCACGTATACTAAACTCAAACTCAAAATGCAATAAATATATCAAACAATAAATTATCTCCAATCCATTACATCAAACATAAACTGAAAAGAATCCTCTCACCATAAATTTCTTTTCTAACTATTTTTTATACTTTTTAATTATTACTCCCTCTGTCCCAATTCAAATTATCTGTTTTGGTTTACAATGTTTGACTGAAATAATTTTTAAATCATTTTATAAATTACGAAGTACACCTTAAAAACTACATTAAAAGATCTACTCTTGTGAATAGTAAACAAGCAACTTAATTTGAGACAAAAACAATTAATTAGTTGTGACATGAATAGATTATTTTATCAAATAACTAACGTAAATAAAGAAAAAAATGGATAAAGTTTGATCCAGAAAAGAGTAAAATGCAACTTAATTTGGGACGGAGGGAGTATCAATTTACTTGTCAATTTTGTGTTTCGTGGTTTATTTTTTATACTACATTGTAAGTTTTTTTAACAAAATTGAATTAGTTTTAGCAAATTCACTAATTTATTTTTTTGTTTTATTGTTAATTTATTATTTTTTGTTATATCAAAGAAAACATTTTCAGTGACATGAAATAAATACGGAATATAAGTTCAAAAGAAAATGAAAATGAAATGCAGTTTTATTACCCAAAGAAATGAAAAGGAAGATGGGTCATGCTACACTTACACCACAAATTGTACCCCATTTGTACACCGCAGTTATACACAAACATTTTGATGGTTTAAACCGACACAAATGTTGGTGCGTTAACAAAATTTACACGGACACAAAGTGTTGGTGCATTAACAAAAATTAGTTTTACACCAACACAAAGTGTTGGTGCAAACCTGCGGGGTACAAAAGATGGGGTACAAATAGCTTAATCCAAGGAAGATACTCAATAAATAAAAAGGGAATGAAAGAGTGAACTAAAATGGAGTATGAATAGTAGACTAGAGACCCAAATTTGGGGTTGAATGCAGGAGAGTATAAAAAGTTAAAAAGTTAAAAAAGGTTTGGGTTTGAAGATCTACTGGAGAAAGTTTACACCAAATCTAAAACAAATAGGTATCTATTGGAGATGCCCTTATATAGATAATATATAGAGTACCCCCACTATTGTAAGATCACTAAAAATTTCTAAGTCCGTCCCAAATTAAATTACTTGTTTACTATTCACAGGGTCAATTTTCATTCCCTTTCTTTCCCTATTTTCATTAGTCATTCGATAAAATAATAGTCTTGTCAACATTAGTTTTGTAGATCTTTTAATGTAGTTTTTAAATATGTAATTTTTATTTTTTAATTCCACACCATTTTTCATATAAAATGATTTGAAAATAATTTCAGTCAACTTCGTGAACTGAAACAGGCAATTTAAATTGGGGCGTGAAATTATTACTCCCTCCGTCTAGAAATGTTCTTCCCATTTGACTTTTTCACGATTTCTAATGTTACACTTTGACCATTAATATCTATGTTTATATATAGATATATTTTATAAAAATTTGATATTTGAAAACTACGTTTCAAAAGGAATATATTGATATTAAACTTATATCATAATACAATATATTTTTTCAACATATCGGAATCAATGTTTATAAACTTTAACCAAGAAAAGTCAATTGGGAAGATTATTTTCGGACGGAGAAAGTAATTACTACGTAAGACAAGTTATTGTCAAACAATAACCTGTTTGAATAAATTAGTACCAAAGACTTAAGTACCTAAAATTGTAAAGCCGATGCATAGTGGCTATCTATACACTTGAAATGATTCGGAAAAAGAGAAAGAAATGAATTTTCTCATGCCTTATTACTAGTTTCAGGGCATCTTATTCTTGTTGTTTTGATGTACTCCGTAATAGTTACTCCGTAGTATTTAAATACTTATGTACGAAAGTTTGATTAAATTAATACAGTATTTTTTCTTATATAATTTCATTGTTAATTTGGTAAACTATGATACTCCACAATTTTTAAGTCTATACCTTTTACATCAACAATTAAATAAAATAAATTGAAAAAAAATCAAACACTATCATTAATGTGCCAAGTTTATCTGGAGTGGAAACTATTACTCCGTACTTGTTAATAAAATAGAACCACATTTTCATTTTCTCAATAAGCGCACCAAATCAGAAGTATTGCCTCCATCCCAATGTATTCGTCCAGTTTGATTTTTTTGAGTCAAACTGGACGAACTTTGGACATTAATTAAATAAAAATGATAATGTATTTTAGTATAAAAATTATTTTAAAAGATTTATTTTGTTGAGAACTATTAAAATTTTAATTTATTATATTAATATGCAACATAAATTAAGAGCAGTTGATGCTTAAAGTTTGTCAAGTTTGACTCGAAAAAGTCCAGACTAGACAAATATACTGGGACAAATGAAGTTTATTTTAATTTGAGATATTTGTGGTCAGAGAGAAAAAAAAAGCACATCAGTAGATATGGACTATTTTCAGTATCAATTCTTTTCCAATTTAATTTCAAGCAATCCTTAATTACATAATGAGGTACTCACTCTCAAATCCCTTGTAACAATCGGAAGGAAGTTCATATTTCTTTCTCACCAGCTTTGCCAAAACCCCAGAAAAGATGGAAATTTTCTTCAACTGTGCAGCTTAACCATCAACCAACCACCAGCTCCCCTCATGTCTCTTGTTTCACAGTATGGATGTAGCAGTCCAATGACAGAAGGTTCTGCCAAATCTCATTCAGAAAAAAAATAATAATTCTTTGCACCTTACAATTTTTCAGAGCAGCGGAGGCAATGACGATTTAAAATCCTTGCGGCAAGGCTATCGGGCTCGGGAACAGTAGCTGAGGTAATGCTATCCCACAAGTGAAATGTGAGAGACTCGTCAAGGATTTTTTCAAAGAGAGCATCTTGTTCCGACCTTTCGGTATCTGTAACCGGTGCAGTGAAGTATCTGACAGACAGGGCAGTAATGGACATAAGAATAGCAATCACTAGAGTACTTCCTCAGTCCCAAGTTAAGCTTCCTACTTTGACTTACACGGAAATTTGTGGTTGAGATTTAGGGTTAAGGAGCCAAACATTGATAATATACCAAAATAGGAGTAGAAAAGAAAAAAATACCCAAAATAGGAGTTATAATCCGAGTCCATTCTGGCCCACTCATTTTGTTTGAGTATAAAGGTATAGGAAGAGTTAACGAGGTTCATGTGTTCTGCACTAAATGACTCTAAGGCATGGTCTTTGGTTTTCCATTTAGTCAAACATATCGATTCCTAATACTTTTCACTTCTTTTCGATTTGCTGAGCTTATTCATTCATTTGTGCAGTAGCTAAAGGTTATAAACTAGTAATACATTGGCTAATGATGCTCAGTTTATTGAGTAGCTATTTATGGTGCGTACATTGTGCAATTTTCTAGCATTAGTTTGGGATCAGGAATGAGTTTTAAGAAGGGCTTAAAGGTTCTCTATCAATTCCCCAAAAATAGCATACATAATCAAGGCCTTCTATGTTTTGGTTAATACGGTAGTGCAGCCTCTAGCAAACTTAAACTAGTTGCCTATTTGGAAGAAGTGGCCGTTCAAATTTTTTCACACATTCAACAAGTGGATTACTTAGATTCTTACTCCCCTGATTGCAATATGCAATATATAAAGTAAACTATAGAACAAAACAGGGGCAACAATGATATTATACATTGGCATGTTTGCCATTATGCATTGCCATGTATGGCATAATGCGTTATTATGCTTTATGCATTCGCGTGTGTGACTCTATCATTAGGTTGGATACCATTAATCCATTGTGCAGTTTTGAGTGTCGCATTATGTGTTGTTATATTTTGTATAATGTAATTGTTTGACTCTATCAATATTTAATGGCAGTGGTGGCAGGGGCAGGGACAGTGGCGGCAGGTGAGCTGCCGGCAGGGACCGTAGCAGCAGGGATGCCGCCGGTAGGGACAGTGGAGATAGGGGCGCTGCTGGTGGCAGCGACAGTGGCAGCAACAGCAAGAGTGACAACAGGGGTGCTGCCAGTGGGGAAAGTGGCGACAGGGGCACCGTTGGCGGGGACAGGGAGGCATGGGCGTCGCCGGAAGCAGCAGGGGCGATGGCAACAGTGACAGTGGAAGTGGCGGCGGGATAGGCAACAGTGGCAGTGGCGGCAACAGTGGGAAAGTATCAGGGAAGGAGATGGACGAGGGAGAAAACTGTGGCCAATTGTGGCCGTCT